TTGCCACTCTTAGCACCACTACAACTCGTCTAAGAGACAAGTGAAGCCGATCTTTTCACCAATTGTCTGCTAAACAATCGTGGTACCATCTTCCCTCCTGGGCTAATCACTAATCGTATGTCCCTATATCACGCCTTCATTATCATAATTTTTCACTTGCTTATTTAAATGGGGTTTGGTGTGCCCTTTTGAGCGGCTTTGATAGGAACTTTCCACACTCCATGCTGACCTCATCCTTGTGCTGAGGATGTCGAACAGAGTCTGCCATATTGTTACACAGTCCTCTATCCCTAGGTCTTATCACACTCTCACTCTTGCCCCGTAAGATCCGTCTGTTATCTCACGCGTTTAAGTATTTCACTCGACCTCTGTCACCCTATCTATGTTACTCGAAGCGTTATTTCCCACACTGCCTTTGATAGAGTAACTTTAGGCTAAAGCCCCCGAGTAATTCTCATGGTCAACCCTTTTCTTTGATTAGATTCAATGTTGAACCACAACATTTGTGGGTTGGCAAACAGGCTTCACTTATCTTTGACGAGTTATAGGGGGGTGATAAGAGGGGCAAAATTCATTTACAATGCTGGTGAAACGTCTGGGAATGTACTACTACGACTGGAAGTTAGATGTGTTTCTCTAAGACTTCCTACCAATATGACCAAGTTGCAAAAACAAGGTCAAACAACTTATATACAACAAAAGTAGACTGCGACCACACAAACTTGGTCTTCATTCCTTCGAGTATATGTTTCTCTTCCTTAGTAGTTTATCTATTATTTTCTCAAGTTGACAGGACTGCGACATCAGTTACCGAAGAGATTGGTCTATTTGCATGTCCTTATTCCGTTTATAAGTAGGTAGCAGATATTATCATCCAGGTTGGATTGCAGTTTTAAACTTGCCTAGGTCTCATGAGCACCCCCAGCTGTACTCTAACCTGGGTTGTACAGCGTACAGTATATACACGTTAATCACTACGTAACGCTGCCACGAATGACCTCGACTTAATAGGCGAAGGTAAATTTCAAGGAAGTCTAGGCGCTTTCAATGTCACGTGTTAAAAGTGTCGACGTTGCACATTGTATTTGCTATATGAATCGACTACATTATCTATTTTATGTTAATAGGTCTGTTTTGGAGACTACCAGTAGATATGGTATAATAGTTACATTAACCCGTTCTCGCTTAAGGTGATGAACAACTGGTAATTAGGTGCTGATGATGCTTAAGCGAGGGAACAACTACAGTTTTCCCTAGACGAGAATACTTTTTAGAAGCAAGTATGTGAAATTTTATGTAAACATTAGGTATACTTATATCATTGTGAGCAAATTCAATTATAAGTCCTTCATCACTTTTAAGGTAATAAGTTGAATACACCTCTTATATTAGTCTTCACTTAATTGCAATTCTTAGGTTTTCGATTATGTCAATTCACGGATCCTTTGCCACCAATTATCAATGAATTCTTTAAAACAGATTTTCTTTTTTCATTCATTGTATGCACTCTGCTATTGGCTTATCTTTTGGGATAAGGTTTAGTTTGCTAATAAAAATAAGCATTTTACTCGACTTGACCCCTTCGGCCAAATGACAACATACACATATTTATGCATGAATATGTACCGAGTATCAAAGTAACTTTGAGCTGTTGAAGAGAAGCTTTGAAATCCCTCCTTATTATGTAGTATTCTATTTTTTTTATCTATATTTAATCTATTTTTTAACATTATAGTTTGCTGCCTGTTGAGTGTGATAATTCATCTCAAGGAAATCTACATCCGAACAATATTATTCTGTCAGCCATCTGCACCTCTGTTCTTCCCTCTTCAGCTCAATTCATAGCCTGGTTTTTTAGTTTCATATATTTCCTGGATTATTGTTCGGCATGTCGACTGAAAAATATGAGATTTTGATACGCGACACCAAACCCTTTGATGGTCAAAAACCAGGTACCAGTGGACTACGCAAACCGACACGTACTTTTCTTGAGCCCAATTATACCGAGAACTGTGTGCAGGCTATCCTCACAGCCGGTGCTGACGCACCAGGGCGAGCTTCGCGTGGCCTTTCAACGAAGCTTGTCTTGGGTGGAGATGGCCGATACTTTTCCGATGTCGCTCTTCGGGATATAATTATCCCGATGTGCGCTGCCAATGGGGTGCGTATGTTTATTATAGAATTTCTATTATTATCATTAATATAAATTTATATGGTACCATTACAGACATTACTAGATTTTCAAATTGGTTTATTGGAGTTGTGCAAGTTTTGATCATTTTTACCATAAACTAATTG